AAAATGTAAAACATTTCACCATGCGGAGTATTTCGGAGAGTTGCGGTAAATCTTCTCTGAGGTAGTTGTGTAGACTATATTATGCCCTTTCGCATGACGCCATTTTTTGGAAAAAAATATATTATTGATTAACCCTACGACAATGCGTATTTTATTCCTAAGTCAGTATCTAGGTCCAAGTCGCCAAGTAGGTAAGTTATTGAAAAGTGACGGCGCACTGGTCAAAGACAAGCCTTGTATCTTTTCGTTCGAATTGAGACTTTCGCATTTTCTTCAAGYTACGATATAAGAGCTAAATACATTTACCATAAATGTCAAAGAGCAGAAAGAAGGTTTAAAAAGTATCCTACATTCAACATAGCGCGTACAGTAATGCTCATGTGCCAAAATATTTTGCACTTTGTACTCTGCTCTCTGCGATACTCGATCATTGTTTATATCTATTGTCGGATCTCTCATTTGTTCGGCGAGACGTTATATGTATGTACGTTGCCCTGATTTCCCCCAAAACACTACGATGTTTCAAAGCAAGAACCACTAAAATCTTCAAAAAACTTAATTACGATGTGTTTCGTCCAAGAGAATTTTATAACAAATGTTTCCATCGAAATTTGCGTAAGACTTTKCAACGTGAAAGTGTACCGCGAGATCGCTCTTGTCTGCCATTTTCAATATACAGGAGACCCAATCATTACCAAAGCAAGAACAAAATTCTTTATACAGCAATGCCACACAATAAATAGATAACGGGCCGAAACATCATCGCTTTCGAAGCGATATAGGCTTGTTATATTTTACAAATATGTTTTTATCGATAAATAAGTAATTTGTACATATATTTGTTATTTTATATTCATAATCTCTTTATTAAGGTTATTATAAATTTTATTATTATTATTATTATCATATTTACAGTCCCACTGCAAGGGACATGCAGCAAAAAAACAGTGCATTCCATAGCCAATATTATATAAACAAACATATTAAATAGATACAAATGTCAATCCGTGGTTTACTACTAAATATCACGCTACCTAGACATCCTGCATCTATATAACTAACAGTTAGCAGTCATACATAACAGTTATAACAGTTTTAAATCCAAACTAAGCAAAGGAAACGCAACTCTTCCTTTACTAGAAAGGATAACAAATATTTCAGAAGCATTACTACACATTCAAATATTAAACTATTTACTCTTATTTACATAGTTTTGGTTATTATACCGTCCTCTCATGCAACACTCTAGTCGCTCAAGCATTTCACAACTCTTAAAATACCACAATTCCTAGAATGTTTGGGCTTAGCCTAAAATCCAGTAGTTGCTTGTTTTGTTATTCTAATTTCTGCTCTTGTTTTGTTCTGTTTTGTTTTTTTGTGTTTTTTTTAAAATGAGCCTAAGCCCGCAACATTTTATGAATGGCAAGTCAAATGTATTTTGTTAAACCACAGGGAGCCTACTTTTGATAAAATGATATTAGAATAAACAATTGATGAACTGTAAGACATGCAAATAATAAAACTTGTATAATATGAATATAGAAAGTAAGCCCAGAAAGGTGGCCTAAGCCCAAGTAAAATGGTTGTCTTTGTCTTTCTCAGTTTGAGTCTTGACTGAATAAATAATCATTCAGTCAATAATCTGTTTCCTAGATTCTCTTCCACTAGATGGGAATAAAATCTTGGCTGCTGATATCTCTTTTATATTCAATATGAAATCAAATGTCAGACATTTCAAGTTTGTTTATATTTTATCATTAATATATTTTTCCACTATCTCCAGCTGGGCTTCCTGTGGAAATTGTTGAGTGCCTCGCATAAAATCTATTCAAGAAAACTATTTTATACATAAAAACCGTAAAATACTAATACGATAACGATCTATTCAAACATAATTATCCCATGATTTAATATACTACGTAGCAAATCATATTTTTTATGTAAAAGATTAAAATTTCTGTTTATAAATATTTATGCAATTTCTTGGAAATCGGGCACAATGACGTCATGGGTTTTTTCCGGAAATCGAGATATAAACATTCCGAGAAACTAGTGGAAAATTTTTCTAATCCGAACGATGTTTAAAGATTTTGATACTATTTTATTGTGGAATATTTTTATAATAGCTGGATATATCATGTACAAAGCTTGTTTTTTTAGAAGCGAATGATTTTTTTATTTTAAGTTTGCTCGTTCGTGATAAAATACGAGCATGGCATCTCGGCCGAGGAGAAAATTCGTCCCCAAGCCGAAGAAAAATGCTAAAAAACCTGGTTTTGATTTTGAAATCAAAGTTGTTGGAGGACTATCGAATGAAAGAATGGGCGATTCCTCGATGGCCAGAAACTCTAGTATACCTCGACGTCTGCAAGACTTTGAGACAAAACTGAGAAATATCTTCACGATGGGAAGAACAAGTGATAGTGAATCTCGGACTGGTCAAGACCATGATAAAGAGTATATCAAATACAAGCTGAACTTCCGAGATGGTTCAAAGCCTTCTGCCTTCGAAAAGATCCGACAAGAATGGTGTACTAGAATTTGCAGTCCAGGATATCCCTACTGGATGGAATCATGCGAGAATATGCGAGACACCTTTCGATACAAAGCGGAAACGTCGAGACATGGTTTGCAGCCCATATCTTGCAGTTTTGGGAGCTTCTTCAATCGAGGGACTTTCGTAGAACATTATACTACCGTTGATGACGTTCATTTAATCGAGGATGGGGTTGTTTACAGTGAATTCGTACACGATACCAAGGAATTGACCCTCGCATTCCGTCGGAAAAACAATGATTTTGCCGGCTTCCTTTTGTTACCTATGGCTGGAGTTGAGATGCGAATCGAATTCGAGTACAAACAGTTTGAAGATTATATTCTGGTGGATGAAAATAACGATCGGATTGATCTGTATTTGCCACTTATTCGACCACCGAAAGTAACTAAAATAGGTAAGTTAACGTGTGTCGAAACGATACAAGTTTGGACTATATAGGACGGACAGACAGACAAATTGCGAGGTGGGGAAGGTTGACTGGGGAAGAAGGAAGAAGTCGGCAGGTTTGATGGTGGGTAGTAGGTAGGTAGGTAGGTGGGTAAGTGGGTAGTAGGTAGGTAGATAGGTAGGTGGGAAGGTGGGTAGGGAGGTAGGGAGGGAGGGAGGTAGGTAGGTGGGTAGGGAGGTAGGTAGGTGGGAAGGTAGGTAGGTAGGTAGGTAGGTGGGTAGGTAGGTAGGGAGGTAGGTAGGTGGGTAGGTTGGTAGGGAGGTAGGTGGGAGGGTAGGTAGGTAGGTAAGTATGTAAGGTAGGTAAGGTAGGTAGGTAAGATTGGTAGGTAGGTAAGGTAGCTAGGTAGGTGAGATAGGTAGGTGGGTGGGTGGGTGAATAGGTGGGTGGGTGGGTAAGGTGGGTAGAAATGTTTGAATAGCAATTATAATATTTCATGTTCTTCTATCCGTTCAGAGGAAGTACTTGACAAAACCAACGAGATTCGATGTGTCAGTTTCCTAAATTGCACCCAAGAGGTTCTGGGAAAGAGCTCTGTTCTGAGACTTCGCTTTGAATCTTCAAAGAAAAACGATCGAACAATGGAACTGATTAAACGATTAGGAACCCTAAGTGAGTTACTTCTCATTAACATTCAAACTTAGTGCATTTACTCACACTCTTATTGATACACACTCGCTCGTTCAGCATTTATTTGTCTTCTTACTCTTTCGTTAGTCGAGGTAAACTTGAATTTAAACTTTTAGTTCTAATGATAATATCCTGAAATGAAAAGGAAAGCAAAGAGACTAACCTTCGATTTTTATGCCACATTTTAAGGTCGCACAGTGTACTTCGTTGCCATGAAGACCAAAAAACCATGTGGTCGAAGTGAGGTTCCAGTTAAACCCAAATTCGACAGCTTCGAAGTGGCTTATGCACTGGAATGTTTGCTATCTCGGGGATTTAAAGTTACTGATCGACTAAGTCGAAAGTTCTATGATCTACTAAGAAGTGCTGTAGCACCAGATGATGCCGTTTCTCGTCGAAGCCGAACACTGCAACCTTCGCAGGTTAGTTCTAAAATTCTAAAACCAAAAGAAAACAACGGAATTACGTCTTCTTTCACAAGCACAATAAAACCACTCTACTACTCTTCCAAGTAGACCGAAGTAGTTGTGATTTTTTAATCGCCTTGACTGAATTTTAATCACGTGGAGTAAAAAACTTGTCCTCGTGGTACAACATTGGCATCACGTGGTCGATTTGAAATGTACTTGCGGATAACATAACAGACGCTACGAAGATATAACTAGCTAAAAACTAGTGTGAGCTGCGTCGGTGTTTCTAATGAAACAGTAATGATGAAAAGGTAAAGTATACACCGTGAAAAGATGAAAAAACTTACTGACGTTTCGGACGCTAGTCCTTCGTCGGAGTAAAAGAG